ATCATTAAGGAGCTTTGACAGAATCTATTGGGAAAGAAGAAAAGGTAAACGTGAACAGCGGGAACAATCGCATGCCACGAGGTGATTAGTGAATTTGTACTCCCTTCACTATAGCCCTGACAGTGATGAGTTAGAGGATAGATTTCATGCATTTTTGCTTCAAAGACCTTTTCTGAATTCAAATTTAAACCGCTTAGGAGATAGCGCTCTATTTGAATGCACGCTACTACTTCAACAGCCTATTCCCCAAGGTGACTTGAGCAAGGTGCTGCCCTAATATGGATCCATGAGCACACAAGTGTTTGTAGATAATCGACCAGTGAGCTGCACAATCCATCTAATAAAACCCACCCAAACAAACCATTTCCCTGGTTTATTGGTACTGTCTAGGTACTGTGGCAACAACATCTAAGGGGGTTTTAAACGATCAACCGTGGCCATACGCGTAAAGCAACTTAAAAATAATTATACCCATTTAAATTTTTTTTACATTTTGCTATGTTACAGACACAAACCTTAGTGTTTTTTTTATCGCGATCTGTTAGATCAACTCAAAGGTTAGAAAAAGAAAAACAAACATAAGATGTACTGTTTGTAGTTTGAAACAACCCAAATCAGACAAAATAGAGTCAAACATGGGGCCGTTGGTCCAAATAAGCTCAGATAAGGTAGCAACATCTCTCCACAATGATCTGAGAGAGCGAAAAATGTCCTAAAAAAATGACAGTTTGACGTTAAATATCTGCAAAAACGGGATTCTATAGAAAAAAAGTTTTGGAAAAAACACTCGGCAGGGAGCGAGTTTACTTAGTTCTACAATTAAGGATAATCTACTTTCACTTTATACACATAAAAGGGACAAATTGTTTCACATTTTGTAAAGCCTCTATGCCCTTAATCCCTTTCTGCATTGAGTTGGCATTGTCACTATCTGGTAGCATGATCCGTGCCAGAATATATCCACCTTCCACTGTACTTTATTAAAAAGACCAAAATTATTATTTTTTCTCTTCCTATAATGAATTTGCGTACTAGACTACAATGTATACTAGGTTAATCATCTATTTCTTAGAAAATAAATGTCTTTAAATCCTTTCTGTTTAATCGCCCTTCTGTTCCTGATCTGTCCTGGAAACGGGCTCCTCCACTAATCATGCTAATTAGTTTCACCAAATTGAAATTGTTTTGTATTTGGTAGATCCAGTATTCTAAAATGCTGTGAAACCAACTACTTCTTTCTTTTATGAAAAAAAAAAGCTGAAGTTCTCCGCTTTTATATCGCTAATAATATTTGAAATCTATTTACAGATTCTGTGTTTTTGTGTTTGTAAAAAAAAAAAATCAACTTGGGTTTTAAATCCCGATATGGTGCAGTACAGCTGAGAGGGGTGAAAATATGATCTCAAAACAGCATCTGAATGTGAACTGATCCGAGTCACTGACCTTAGATTAGAGCATGTTTTCCCTGAGATGTACTGTACCATGTTAAATAAGTGCATGGACAGCCCCCCCTAGTGAACATAAGGACATAAGCTATGCAGAAGGACCCATGACACAGAAGGGGTTATCCTATTAATCAACAATGGGGGTTGGTTTGTTAAATAGGAATTCAATCTACACTAAAAGGGCAAATCTGTTTCTGAACATTTTATGAAGCTGTACGTAACTGACAAAGCTGCAAAGAAACAAAACAATCTAAAGTGATACCAGGAGCGCCTGCTTGCGATTATAAATAAAGATTTAACGCAGTGGGAGAATCTTAATACTACTGTATGACTTAATGTACTGGAGCAATGCAATGGTTATCTCCGCCTCCCTGCATTGGAAATAGAGAAATTTGAGATCACTGTGTTTACAAGATGTTTATCTTTCCATTTGTGTTGACGCTGTTAAAGGATATTACTCCCAGTAACCCTCCCTCACTCCCTCATCCGGTTTCCAGCCACAGATTGGATTGTTAGATACCCGTCGTCACAGGAAGCTCTCCTTCACCGATCAAGCCACAGGTGGCCAAACATTGGCCGGCTCCTTTCAGCGCTATCATCTCAGGTAAGTTCATGTGTGCCTTCACTGCAGGCGATGCGACTGATGGAGATGCATCAATGACTGCAACCACCAACCTCCTCTCTGGTCCTCACTCTCTTTTGTAGCAAATTCAAATCCAGAGCTGCAACTGGGTGTCTCCTCTGCGACCCGACTGTCTTTCACTCTGCTCACACCAACCAATCTGTACTGAAAGCAATCTGCTGTGTCACATGCTTTATTGGAAAAAAGCTCACAACCTTTTTTCTTCTTTCTTCCCAGCATCTCTTACTGCGCTGAAACAAATAATGCATCCGCTTTTGGCATTTACTTAAACGTATTTAGTTATTTTAACACAACTGTTTCATGTCCTACCCTCCTAAATGAAAAAAAAATGTGCTAAAGCAACTAGATATGATCAAGTAAATGTCAAAAATTATTGTATTATTTTTTTTAGTACAAAGTAGATAAGTGGCTAGAGCTACCCCTTAGTGCTATGTGAATCAAAGTGAGGCATTCGTAAAAGCAACTTAAGGAAACATATGACAATTGTTTCTTCTCGGTCATTATATATTGTATATCAGAAGTCAAATTATTGAAGAGTGTATTATTTGCACACGTTTTTTTTTATAACACACCAGAGAGACTGCTAAAAGCTGTACAGGGCAAAACCTTTGGGAATAACAATGTCTATATACACTTACCTTAAAGGTCATAGCTACAACCTTTTCATCAAAATGTTTGTTTTAAAAAGAAAAGAATATATCTGCAAACCATGTGGAATCATTTTTTAATATATTGATTATCTTTGTTGTAAATGTTGAACGGTCCAAAATAGAGCTGAAACAACTAATCGGATTAATCGATTATGGAAATAATTGCCAACTAATTTAGTAATCGATCCATTGTTAAGTAGAGTATAGAGACTGTAAAATATGCTTTTATACCACTTAGAGCAGTAATTATATAAAAATTGCAATAAAATATATAAACATTTTGCATTTAAGATAACAAAAACTTTTTTGTCTCTCTAAATGCTCTATCCAGAACTCCTCAAGTGGAAACGTTTTAGTTTCACCTGGTTTATTTCATAAAAATCGTCTTTAAGGCAACCTTTGGCTATTTGATTATTAATTAATTAATTGTATTTGCAAAATAATCATTAGTTGCAGCATTAGTCAAAAATACTGTATATCAACATTTACATCTCAATTTTGCACCAGTAGATATAGTCATGTGAGATGGAGCTCAGATGGTTCAATTTTCTAGTAGCTCCATGTTTTGTTTTGTTTTTCTCAGATTAAATCCAAAAAAAAAAAAAAAAACGAAGGTGAACATCAGTCAACCTTTTCAGACTTAAGGGCGAAAAGGGGCTCAGAAGCCACAATGAGGTTGCTGCTTTTCTTCTAAAGTGGTCAGTAAATGTTCGTTGATGTTAAGTAATGCAAACCAAAGGCTAGCATTAGCAGACCTGGCAACCAGCTGGCAAATAATGGAACGAGCGCCTTGCTTACAGCCCTGGGAGGAGTTCAACTTGTGGCTATTACCTTTAAGCATAAGTATGCATAAACTGAATTTTTAAAATATTTTTTAAATCACTATCTTTTAGAAAAAAAAAGTATGCTTTCATTTCTTTGTAGAAGCTGCTTTTTAATGAATCCCAGCTGCAAGCTGTTTTGTTATTGTGCAGCTTTAGCACAGCTAGAGACCGAAACGCTTGTCATTCATCTTCGCGAAAATAGCTCACTGAGATCAGATGAAGATAAACATCAGTTTTCAGATTTTGTTTTTGTTTTTTTATATTGCATTTAAATATCCAGTTTGACTAAGTTATTCTAGCAGTGTAATGTGGCTCTATTTAATCTATTCCACTCTAGCTCTGGCTGCATGTTTGGTGCTGCTATCCCTCTATCCTAACCTCTATCCTAGTCTCAAATCTTCTGCAGCCTTAACCTTCATCCATCTTCCCATTAGCTGAAACATCCACACGGCATTATGCCACCGCAGCAATGCTTCAGTGTAACGACACTGTGCTCAAGGGGACGAGGGAAGAGGATGCGGTGTTAGTTTCCTGCCACACAGAGCATATTAAATGTAGATTTAAAAGGTTCTTCCGCATCTTTGCCTAAACTTTCCTCCAAAACTTGGATTTGTTGCAAACTGCTGTTTTTATTTTGTACCACCTTCCTTTAAATTAAAAAAAAAAAAGTTGGCAAAAAATTTCTGTGATTTCAAAGATCTGAAAGACTGGTCCTCTGTCATCCTGTTTCCATCTCATTGGTGTCATCCCGGTATCCTCCATGCCCATACATTAATCTTATTTTAACCCTAACATCCTGTTGACTCCTCAGTCTTTTCCCACCACAATTCATGACCATAGGACAGACCACCAGAAGGAAATTGCAAAAGGCATGGAGGTGATCAGTCTGTTTAACTAACTTCATCTGCAAGGAGAAGAGTTAATGCTGACCTAATATTAAGGAGAAGTTGCAGTCACAGGAATGGTGCTTAAGAATGAATTATTTCAGGCTGCTCTTCCATAAAAGCTAGATCTATATAGTGCACAATGCTCTTTCCTTTTAGTTAAGGTGGGACAAATTTATGTGACAGTCTGCATTCTCATAAGATGGACTAAAGACTGTTGTCTGGGCTTATGGACAAAACTGTTCCACTGGGTTTTACCTCAAGGCATCACAATAAATAGATTTACTTTTACTTTGCACTATATTTGTCTTGCTTAATCGCCTAAAACATGTTAAAGTTTATGACTGACAGTTCAAGAAGTCTCTTGCAGATATTTCTGCAAGGTATTCTAATGGCTCTGGTGCCTAAATATACAAGAACCAGCTGAAAAAGAAAATAAAATTGAGCTACAATGTTTAATATCCCTTTGGAATCGTGTATTTCTGAATTGAATAATGAGGGTATCCGTGAGATCCACTGGATCGAGCAGCAGGTGTCACGCCGTCGGGTCTTACCATCGGGGTTGGCGCAGATGAAGACCCGCACGCTGCGGCCGGTGGGGACGTGGTGTGGCGGCAGGGCGTTGATGTTGCCGCTGATGGCCGCCCTGCGCATCGCGGACTCCCGCGGGCATGGCTGCCTGCTCCCCACTCCCGACGGCCACATGGGAGGCGACTTCCAGCGTGGCTGCACGCACACGCACACACACACACACACACACACACACACACACACACACACACACACACACACATGTTCCTTACTCTCATATAGCTGGACATGAATTTACGCGCAGATTCCCTCTGATCCACACGCGCGCATTTAATGGGGCGTTAAAAAAAGCCAAAGGCTTATATTTTACATGTCAATTTTTAATCTCATGATAAATATTTGTACTTTTTAGAAGCAGATTCTTAATAAAATCCTGATTTTTTTTTTTTTGGTCAATAAAACATCTACAGGTCATGCCATATGCCGTAACCCCCATTAACGCGCGCGCACAAACAAATCAGTCAAGTTAGGATAAATCTGCTAAATTTGCTCCAAAAACACAAGAATGAGACTGAATGAATCAGTTAAGGCATTCATTATAATAAAAAAGGAGCTTACGCACAGCCTACTATACCGCCACGGTGCATGCGTAATTTGCAAACATGTCCTTGGACGCATTCATGAATTTTCATGCCACTGTGGGGACAAAACAGACAAAAACGAGACGATACAGAAGTCGGAACAGACGAGCAAAAGCAAGCATCAGTCGGGTTCCCCACCCCAGAGAGAGAGAAGATGCTTGATGAGGCGAATAACCGCTAAGAAAGGTTATTCCAGATGCCAAGTGAGGTGCTCGCTGGTTTTCCCGGAGTTTCTTTATCTTGAAATCTTTTGTTTCAGAGATGGAAAACCTCGAAGGGAAAAAGGACAAGAGTAATATAAAAAAAAAAAGAAGACAAGAAGTCCAACCCTACATTAAATCCTCAAAACAAGGACGCGTGATAGTGGGACCACAGAGGCACCGCATCCACGGATAAGTAGGGGTCTCTACTAGTGATGCTGGAGGCAGGCACAACAGCGAGGATGCACTTTTGTTGCTCACGTTCATGCGCTTCATTCCGCGGCTTCCGAAAATGTCCAGGCGGAGAGAAGAGGGTCGATAAAATGCCCATGAGAGTGGCCGTGAGCGAGGCGGGACGTCAGGAGGCGGCGAGGGTCGGAGCGCTCCCCCGTGGCATCCTGCTGGGTTCCCCGCGAGCCGACCATTTGGAGACGGATAGAGGCGGCAGAGAGAGGGGGGGGACCGGAGCATAAAGCACGCAGGAATACAAGCACAATTTCCGGTTCTTCCTTTCAAATTAAAACCCATCACCTCCAGTTCAACCTATTTTAAAACATTTATTTAAATCCTCTACTGTAAAATAAGTAAGAATAAAACAACTATGAAATAAAATTATTAATTTAAAAGTTTTTAGCCTTGTACTCACATACGGCGTCCGTTGGAGTGACTCTATTTACACATTTCCGACCGCTTCCCAGCTTTGAATATCGAGCTTGACCAAACAGGCAGAGGATGCTGTGGACGTCCCTCCTCCTCCCAGTCAGCCTCCTCTGGGCTGAGGGGAGCTCACCTCAGGCCCTATTAAAATTCACACTACACGCAAAGTCAGCAGTGAGTAATCGTAAAACGACTCTTATTTCCAAAGGATCCAAATTAAAATCTGGAGCAATATCTCAGCAAAACCATCAAGTTAAAGTTATGTGTTAGTCTACTTCTTGTCTATTGGAAATCATGTTTTCTATAGATTATTCAGTGGTCTTCAACGTTTTCCAGGCCATGGACCCCAAAAATAATGATGAATGGAGCAGGGACCCCCTAATCAGGGACGGAGCTAGATGGGGGCTGGGGGTGGCCATGGCCTTAGCCAATCTGGGGCCACCCCTACCATTTTTTTCCCTCTAATACACACAGTGGCAGCCATGGGCGGTTCTACACAGGGGCTAACGGGGGCCAGTGCCCTTGTAGATGTCTTGGCCCCTGTTATGGCCCCTGTACTGAAGACATAATATTGATAGGTCCATTGGCTTTATTTCATTTTTTTTCTTTACAAATTCTGTTTTACCATTTAAATACAATAAGGTGATAGCTTCAGTGGTGTTGAGATAGGATCTCAGTTTTCATCTGTAAAATGTAAAAAAAAAAAAGAAATGTAAAAAATGCTCTAATTTTTACAGCTTAATTTTTCATTTTTTCTCGAGTTCTATTTCAGATTTTATTCTAAAAATTGGTAATTTTGACTTACATTAAGTCAAAAATATGTAAAATTATAAATGAATATTGGCCTTATAAGAAATAGGATCTTAATTACACCTATTTGAATAGAAATTTCACTTCATGCAGCTGTATAAAAAATTTCTGGCTACACCTCTGCCCCTAATTATATATATTGTATGACATTGTGTTGTATCAAACTGGTTATATAGTCACTCTATTACAGATGGAGTCATTAACAAAAGTAATTTCTCCCTGGGATTATTCAAGTATTTCTGATTCCTGGTTGATGGGACAGGTGTTGTGAATGAAACTCAGCTCCTGTGTGTTGCTGAATGTGTGCATTGATGACTGAAACACATCTACTGCCTCAATTTATCTGTTCACTAAAGTGTGTTGAATTCTTGTTAATGTGGATTTAAAGATATTTCAATTAGTGGTAAAAAAAATTGCAGGGGGGCAATATATATATATATATATATATATTTATATATATATATAAAAAAGTCAAATCAACCAAAACTTTCACAACCCTCATGCAGTACCTCCGTGGACCCCCTAGGGATTGCGGACCCCCTGTTAAAGACCTCAGGATTAAGCTATTCATCTTCTCACTCATCATGTGGCAGTTTTTTACTTTGGCAGTAACTATTTTCTTTTTTCCTTTCTTCCCACAATGAAAGCATCCAACTGGTTTGCTAAACTGGAGCCATATCATGTTGCCAAGCCTGGGAATTAATGCTGCCCAAAGGAGTTCAAAGTCATATCATCACTGAGAAAAAAAATGCATGCATTTGGTCACAAACTTAAATTTCTTCTTTTCTTTTTTTGGTTTTGTTTTGTTTTTTGCTTTAAAGTCCCCTCCGAGTTTGGGATTTTCCCACTTATAGCCTATAATAGCAGCTCTTCTAATTGGCTAAGAGAAGAACATCACCTGAGGTTAGGGCTGTGATGTCAAATGAACTGAATAAATGTTGATGAACTGCAGTCAAAATAAAAGAATTAAAACTCTTACATAAATATGTCACTTTTCTTATTTTAATATTGCCTCTCTTTTTATTACTTAATTTATCCCCTATATTTCTGACACAGGAACCTTCCCAGGATCTGTCCACAACTTTACTGTCTATTTTACTTTTGTCAGGGTGTACCTGAGTGTCCCTTTTGCTCTGGCAGGTTGAGCAATGGGGGGAGGAGGGTTTAAATTAATTGCTTTATCGATAAATGTACCTCTGCTCTGCAGCCTCTGGTTATTCGCGTTGCAAGTTTAAGTGCATTGGACTTGTACTAAATGGAATTGATTACTATACTGCTCTTGTGAGGGTGGTGGTGTTGGTGGAGGACTGAACCATACATATTTTTTCCTTGCCTCTCAGCCACTATACTCCAGTATATCTTTGAACCTAATGAGAAATGTGTATGAACTTAAACAAAAGTTTAACATTTGTACTTTTAAAATTTGATATCATCTACAATAATCAAAGCTGCTGCACGGATACCAACTGTCCTTATCTACATCCTAATTGCTCATCTGTTATTACTTCAAGATGTAAACAAAAGCAGAATTAAAAGATAGCAATTAGATTAATAGATGTATGCTGTATTGTTATATGAATCTCACTTGAGTTTGAAGGTTTTACATTTCAGGTTAATAATTTATTCAAGTAAATGTAGAATTCTTACCTGATCAGGCTGTGGAGGAATCACTGCTGCAGGTCTTACGCTGGGTTAAGGATGATTTTGGATCTGCAGGCTCTCTTCGACACATTTAAGTCACCCTCCAGGGCCACCGTATCACACCAGAGCAAAACTGAGACTCTGGTAGAGCTTAACTGGAGCACCAGGGGACCAAGGCCTTGTTCCCAACAGTGTTATGACCTTTCCTTATTTGATTGTTCCGCTTCCTTTCATAACACCCTGCTAGTTAATCATGGGTGCACCTGCACTGGATTATTACTCTGCAGTCTTTTCTAAGAACAGGTTGAAGGGCTGATTGAATCAGGATGCATAGATTTCATTCTTGCTTAAGCAAAGCTCTATTTGAATGTAACAATCTTCAAGAATACAAAAAAGAAAAAAAAATCCCCCATTATATCTTGAATGTATGAATGCTGCACCAGTCAACCCAAAGCAAAATGTGAGTCACCCAGATGATAAGATGTGATGTGTCACCTGGTGGACACACAAACACCAAGAACAGACACTGGCTGTTCACTTGCCATCCGTGCACACCGACAAAAGAAAAAAAAAAAAGAAAATACATAAACAGCTGGTGATGAATGGCTGATTTCTCAAAACAGCTGGAGAGGAACAGAGTGGGAGGAAAGGAGGAACATGGGGGCTGGTTGGATCTATTTCTGTATGACGCACTTTGGTGCCACTACATTAACCCCTCAGTTATAATGCTCCCTGAACAGGTTTGTTGACTCAGAGGTGAAGGGTATTTATGGTACATCTCTGTTTTCTTTCTAATTTTAAGACGCTGATGGGATGCAAATTTTAACTACAACATGAAACTGAGATTTACATCATTCAAATGGTTGCAGTACATATTCAGTTATTCGACTTTCAGTTTGTTAAAAATTAAGATGGTGAATTATCTTGGTGGGTAAGGAACAAAACAATGAACAACCAAACAACAAAGAGTGATGTATCGCTCATATTTAGGAGCTTCCACGTTGGATGATAGGAGAAGGAGGGAGCCTTGGTATGCTAATTCCTTGAGGCATAATCTGGCTTTGGAGGCAGAAAAACCTGACCTCATTGGTGGGTAAGTAGTATAAACTCAAAATAGGGCTGTGGAACCGTAACTGGAGAGGGCCTGGATTAGTTGCCCATGGGGAGATGTGTTGTGCTGGTTTAAGGATACTGAACCCACCGAGCAAAAATTGATTAAAAAGACGACATGATTTGCATCCAAATGACATGGTAAACGGCCTGTACTTATATAGCACCTTTTTTCAAGTCAGACCAAAGTGCTTTACACTACATTCAGTCACTCACCTATTCATGAACACACTCACTGTGGCAAGCTACATTGTAGCCACAGCTGCCCTGGGGCTCCCTGACAGAAGCGGGGCCACCATCAGGGCCACCAGGCCCTCTGACCACCATCAGTAGATAATGCAGGTGAAGTGTCTTGCCCAAGGACACAACAACACTGAAAGTCGGAGCCGGGGCTTGAACCGTCAATCCTTCAATTTCAGGGCAAACTCCAATGCCACTGTCGCCCTGACATCTATATCTGATTGAAAAGTGAAAGGTGAAAAGCCGCAATTTTCAGATAGTTCAAGACGTTGAAAACTTCACAGCTCATTTTCAACAACTATTTCTGGACTAAACCAAGACTATGATGGACCGACCAGATTTATCCTAAAAACCAATGTCTAAATGATGTCTGGCGTTTGGGGGCAATAGCCTCCAGCTGAGTTCAGTACCTGGATTATTGTGTTTTCTCCAGTGATTAAAAGGGTCACCTCTTTTTTACTTCAAATTTCAAGAAACTGTTATCTGTGCTTATGTGCCAAACATTAGTATAGGTCAATCAGCATTCTTGAATGGTCTCATGAAAGGGATGCCATCGTTAAAGCCCATGTAGGAAACAGCAACTTCAATGGAGGATTGGAATTGGGAAGAAATGCCTCCCTTATACAACTCAGGCAATGTTACAGTGTGTACAGAATGGCTATAATAAACACCTTTCAAGCACAAAGTGGTTCAAAACTGTACTAAGTCGATGTATTTTCATGCGACCTGTAGCATTATGTGTTATTATGTCTATATGTCTGATACTTGGGAAAGGGGCAGTACCTTCAGTCAATTACATCACTGAGGTTAGTTTAATCCAGGGACAGTAATGGCTGCCACACAGACCTGGATTAGCCAGGTGGGGGGTCAGGGGGAGCTGAGACTTCAGCCACTGATGTGGTCTAAAAATGTAAACATGTAGATGATTTTTCTATATCACCAAGGAAAAGAGCTGTGGCCTGAAGTTAATTCAAGCCTGTCGCATTTGAAACCAAATGATTCTTGTTTTAAATAAAAAATACATTCATTGTAAAA